CCGGGGCTCCGGCTCGACGTGCAGGAGAAGGAGCGGGGTGGTTTTTAGTCAGTAAGAGTCTGACACTCCCTCCCGCCTCACCCAGGCGGGAGCAGTCATTAGATGATTTCCCCCCCTTAAAAAAAAACACCTGACTAGATCTACATGTTTAAATGTAATTCGTGGAGTTTTACGTATAATGCGTACTTTTTTTGATAATTACGTTTTGCACTAAAAAGATTTTATTTTAGCATGTTACATTATGTTCCGTGGTTTCTTCCTCCTCAATTACATAGACGAGAGGTTATGTTCATTTGTGCTTTGTTATTAGCGTTACAAATTCCTAAAAATTCATTTATCAATAAAAAAAAAATACTGTTATAGTAACCAAATAAAAACTCAACTGTGACAAAAAACGATAACAATTTTCGAACTAGGCAACAGAAAATGTTATCTCAATTAAATTTTACGACAGCCGTGTTCGACTGTACAGTAATACTGTAGGTTTTAACGAACCCCTTCCGAACCGAGGTGTAAGGTCCTGGGGGCCAGGGGTCTTGCCCTCTGAATAATGTATTGAAATTTCGTAACTTGATAAGAAATTCATTTCTAAGCCTTATGCGGAACACCAAAGAACTTACGTTGCTCTGGCTTCGATCTTATTAATTTGAAGTTTGTCAATCAATTTATCGTCATTATTTTTTGTGTCCCGAATTGTCCGCTGAAACTTTTTAAAGGAACAAATAAAGACTCAGTCTCAAGCATTCAAAATGAAAAAAAAAAGTTCTATCCTACTTTTTATAATAACTATCGTGAGACACACTAAATTAAGTAAAATCGCGGGTTACTCACGACGTCGCGCAGCTCACTGACCGCCGCGACTGCGCACACGCTGGTCATGAGGAAGAACCCCTCTGTGGTTCGAAACTGGTAGAGCTTTTCTCAGTATATCCTGAGTAAGTTTTTAACTCTTGTCCTATGTATGTATGTATGTACGTATTTTAAGCGCGATTATCTCACGATTGACTGAACCGATTGTGATGCGGTTTTAGAAAGTATAACAAATACTTTTACACTTAGGTTTTAGTATGTTAATTAACCGATTCAGAAAAGTGGTTGAAGTCGGTTTTTTTTAAACGTAGTTTATACTCGTACAGACTGCCTCGTTGGCCGAGTGGTCGACTGTCGGGCAAGGGGTTATAGTAGTCATCATTATCATCAACAGTTATATATTTTTTTTCTGACTATGACTGCACGGTTGTTGCGGTGGCTGGGCAACCGGCTCCCGTGCAACGTGTCGCGGGTTCGATTCCGCACGGAACAACACTTTGTGTGATCCACATATTGTTATTTGGGGTCTGGGGTTACATGTGTATGTGAACTTGTATGTTTGTAAACGCACCCACGACACAGGAGATACTACTAGTGTAGAGCAACGCTTTTTTTTTTAAAAAAAAAAAATAAAGTGGTAACTGCTGACTATATAGCATTAGTTAAAATATATTCTATTCTTACCCTAAAAGGCGTGATGATATGTTACGTATTCGTAAGTCTAAACCCCAGTAAATAAACCCAAAATATTTGTGATATTTAGGGTCAATGTCAAAATTCCTTTAGCGACGGAATGCAAGCAATAATAATATAGAGTTCCAAAAAAATACGGTCAATTTTCGTCATTAATAGATGTATTTTACAATAATATATGGCATGGTGTGTGATATTGATTATGTTTAGTTTGTGTGTAATCCTAGTAAAACAAAACCAAATGTTTATCAATTAACTCGTTGAGTACCGTCATTACAGACACAATTAAAGAACAATAGGTTGCGGTCACCGGTGCTCGGTGTTTGACAGTTTAAAACATATTTTTCTTACTTGATATAACGAAAACAACCCAAACTAAACCATTAAAAAGAGAAAAATGATTAAATTTGACTAACAAATTGTTTTCATTTACTAACAAAGCCGACCAATTAGCTGAAATTAAAACGTTCAACTTGATTGAATTTTATTGCGAAGCAGATTACGCTGTTTTGAATATTAAATAAAGTACTTAGAAAAGCTTTTTTTAATGGCTTAAGTTTTTGAACATAAAATACCTTAATGTTGCTTATGAATTCGACAAAATGTTCCTTCAATTAAATCGTATTTAAATAGAAATATTACGACCTTCCTTATCGAAACACTTATATAAAGAAAAAAAAGTTAAACAACTTTTAAATTGTTTAGAATTTTTTTTATCTAAACGTATATTATAAAGCTGAAGAGTTTGTTTTTTTGTTTGTTTGTTTGTTTGAACGCGCTAATCTCCGAAACTAATGGTCCGATTTAAAATATTCATTCTGTGTTGGATAGTGCATTTATTGAGGAAGGCTATATAAAATATCACGCTACGATTAATAGGTGCCGAGCAGAGCGAGTAAAACCGCGCGGAAGTAGCTAGTCTACAATATAACGAAAAAAACGTAGAACATAATTGTTGTCTCGCAGAAGGGGTTTATATTTTACTAATTATTCTGTATAAGCGTATGTTGTCATATGTTGTAAATAATTGTTCATAATATCAGAAGGCATCAGATGATGACGTAAGAGCGTTACTTAATTACTGTTTGATATATTAAATTGAAATTGGATAAGTGTAATAGTTTCATAAGATACACAAACAATGCGAACTCGGAAATATGTTTGAAGTATCTCCATTTCAATATTATTTTGGTAACACATTCCAAAATTTCTGTAAAAAATAAAAAGATACATATTTGTTTATTGTTCAACCCCTTTACCCCAATTTCCAATCAGCCAGTTGAAAACAATAAAACAATTACCCTTCCCTCAAACCTGTAATTTAGCAAACAAAACAAAATAATATCTTTCCAAAGAGGCCAACATTTAACCCAAACCCTTTTTAATATTCAACGCCATACATTTAAAAACAGAACCGAGAATTTATTGCCACACCGAAAAATGTAATAAGTATGAAACTTGGCAATACAGACGCTAACCCGAGCAATTTCATTCGCGGAAACAATTGTGGATAGAATTTGACTTTGGAATGTTGGCTGGTGGGCTTGCCTTGTTGGCCAAGTCCGTTGTCATCTAGTCGGCCAATGTGAGCATCCAATAAAGCTGTTTAGAAACCATTCGAGTGATCTAATCAATGCAAGGGATTCCTGGCTTAGCCAAACAATTGGGCCTGATTGACGATATTGTTGGCTGGCTTATTGTTAAGCCAAGCTTATAGGTGCTTATAGGTAGGGATTGACGCTTCACCGATATAATTAATGGTTTTACCTGGTATTGTGTGGATTGGGACAGTCCTGTTTAATTATTTCTTTTTTAGAGATTAATGATGATTAGTTTGAGAATTTACTGTAATTGAATAAATGATTGTAAATAAATATAAGAGGCCTCGCAAAAGTAGGTACCCTCTATATAATAGAGCATGTATTTATTGACAAATCAAATTCTTTAGTTAGTTTACTAATAAACTCAAAAAATGGATCAATAAAGACAATATTCTTAATAAAGCTTACGCAAAATTGATATTTCTAGTGGTACTCGAAAGTAAACTGTTTTTACTGGGGAAATCTTTCATTTTCCCAAAAAAATATTTGGACACGACCCTTAGGGATCTTGGGCCAAATTATTAGGTCAATGTAAATAAAGGGTGATTCTTCCCAAGGATTTCTAGGGCTGTCCTCACCATATTAATAGGGTTGTGCAAACATAACTACGCAGGGCTGTGTATTTGTTATGCTGTTATAAATTGAAATCTCAACGAAATAATATTCTTCATGACCTTTACGTATTATTAGATTTCCAATTTTAGAAAATGTTAAGCCGTTTCACACTGTCTGATTATATTGTTGGTAGCATAGCTGATGGATTATTAATCATATCATTGAAAGTTAAAATATACGATGTCTCAATCAGCTAAGAGCAAAATTAATAGACATAGTTCAATTCAATTAATTTATTTCAGATTACATAGATCCATTTTGTTTGTTAGTCGACACAATATTTAAATGGGGTTAGTACCACGAACAAAATAATAAAATATTAGGTATAGAACATATTATACATACACATATAGTGAAAGTAACCCTTACACAGTTCCAAATATGCCCTCTGAACCGGTAATGGAGATATAACACTTCCTACATATTATACGTATCATGTGGAAATAGACACCTATTTTTTCATACATAGTCATGATACCCTTTACATATAGTACGTTACGAATGCCTAACAAATGAAAGTGGGTGTTCCATTAAGTTAGTTCATCTCTGCCTACGGTTTCGTGGAAAAATGCTTAGTGTTATATTGATACACATGTTTGTATATTATGACCTTTATTGTATATATAATAATATTGTATATGTTTGTATATGATGATAGATATTGGCATTGATGCCAAATATAATTTTATTTGACTAGTCTAGACTAAATTCTTTTATGCTCTAACTAAAGTGATTATTGTAAAACATTTTATTTTGATGCAAAAAATTAATATTGACCAAAATGTATGAAGCTGTTTTCATTTTAAACTGTCAAACACCACGAGGTCACCGGTCACCGCAACCTATTGTTCTTTAATTGTGTCTATAATGACGATACTCAAAGGGTTAAACACGTTTTTTTTCTTTTATTTACCATATTTACAATAAGTACAGATTATCTATCTAGCAACCAAAAACCACTAGGTTTAAACTTGTCCTATCGTAATTCAATCTCAAAATCATTTTTTTTGTAATATGAAGTTATAATTGATTTCGTTTAATAACATCATTCATTGTGGATATTAATTAACATTTTTGTGTAATGATCTCATTTTAAGCCTATTCTGTGTAATTTTTAGAAAAAGTAATATTTCAATTTTGATAATGTGTATTGTAAAATAAATTAAAACTTAACTCTGGTCTCCAGACTGTACCATTACAATCGATTGTTTTACATTTTTAATCGGACTTCAACTTTATTTCTTTATTTATGTACTATGCCTAACTTTAACCTCTTTGTCCCTAGCGGCCACGGCAGCAGAGCCTCGGTGGAGTCCTGAGACGAGAAGGCAACTGGAAATGCTTCATGCTAACCCTGATGATAGCTGGTTGCCTCGGCTCCGTCGCCTGGTGCAACACCGCTGAAATTGACAGAGACCTCATTGATTTTAGCAAGTAAGTGTTACGAGGTTTAAAAATACAAAGTCCTTGAGATTTTTAAAAGTAATGTAGTTGTAATTACAAATTACCTACTCTTTGCCTATAAAAGTCTCTCAAAATTTTGGTAAACCTATTACAAATGTACTTTGTAGCCAATTTAAACAATAAATATCAGGTACTTAAGTTAGGCTATAAAATAAAACAAAATTATGGCTACATTTTGATAGCCCGTTCCAATTAAATTACTCCATCGAAGTAACGGCTATCAATTTCGAGTTTCAAATTTAAATGAACTTAATTGGAACGCACTTAAATTCAAATTTTAATTTTGGAACGCTTTAGTTGGTACGTTATCGAATGGTTGCAAGTTTCATATGGCAACATTTTATTTATTTTTGTTGTATTTAAATAATTAATGTATTAAATGTCGGTTTGACATGTTTAATTATGTTTGGAGTGTAATGGAGTTAGTAACGAACTTTACTTATTAAACGACAATGAATTTGGACAGGAAATTCGTGGTATACAATGACTAATTGACTGATTCGAAATTATATAATTATAATTTATGTTGATTATATTAATGCAATGAACTCTATGCATGAATATTAACTATTGTCGTTCAGTTTTGTAATGCATTCTGAGCTTAATTTATACTATAATTGAAGAATATAACAGAATTATAACATAATTCTGTAACCTAACTACGTATTATTATTTGTGATATATTAATTTCAGCTTTAACAGACCAAACTAACCACTAAATCAGTTTTGTGTCCGTCAGGCATCCTATAAAACGGACGGTCCGTGAGTCGCCCTGTGATGTAGGATACGCCTACATCCCCATCGCCTTTGTCCTGCTACTCTACTTGGTGTACCTGGTGGAATGCTACCATAGTACTGCCAGGATACAGCTGGCGAGGAGAGTGGATGTAGCTGCCGTCAGCGCCAGGGTACATGCCATGAGAAACGCTACGCCACGAGTCTGGTAAGAAAGTATTTTGAAAACTTATTTAAATAATTTGAAAACTTATGTAGGACTTAACTGTTTAAGATATACATAAGTATTGAAATTATAAAAAGTATTTGTTGACTGAAACTAATTAAAAATTAGTTAATATGAAATTTTATTAAATGTAGTCATGTACATCGTCAGTGTACACAAAATAAAAATAACAATCACTTTGAAATTAAACAAATTTCAGCTTTCACACACATTCTGAGAATTGCTAATAAATTACAATTCTGCTAAAACATTTATATGGTACATAAAGTGGAAGGCACACTTTCGTAAATTAATTTTACTCAACTGATTAAAGTGTAGTACATACATACGTACCTACAGCTTTTATGTTAACGAGTGAGCTAGTTCGTGATTTTGATATGTTCCGTGCTCAGAAATATTTTGACCAAGTAACTGTCGAAAAAGTGGCATCATGACATATGTTGGTAATGAGACCAAGCAGCATTTGCATAGAATGGCAGATACGAAAATAACACATTCAATCATATTTTATCTATTAACTTGGGAATGACTCCCAAAAGAGGTACTCACATTGAGGGCGGTCTCATAAAACACAGGATATGAAATTGTAGAACACGAATATTTCAACTTACCATACGCACACACCAGCAACTTAATATAAAAGAATTTTCTCGAATATCTACCGACATCCGAAGCAAAATCAGATGTTTCAGTATTATTTCCCTCTTCATAATTTTATTTGAAAAGTAAAATGCAGTTTGGCCCAGGACGTTTTACCTTCAATACAAGTTATTCCATTTTATGCATTTTTAACTTTATCGTCTCGTGCTAAAGTCGAAAATGTTCCTCTGTCCCTATTGGTGCATTTCTGTGTGTCACCATCCACGGTTCGAAATTGTATTAACCTACGTCAAGTGACGTCATATGCATACTTATGTGTGTGACGTCTGACAATTTTCTGGGACACTTTATGCCAGTAGATACGGAGGAGTGTAATATTCAAATATTTTATAGTCAAGTTGCGCCATTCTGATTTAGTATAAGCATTTGAACAGTGGATTGAAACATTTCCCAGCGAATGGAAGATACGTAGAGTATTTGCTTTGTTTTGAGACAATGGTTAACTCGTCGAGTACCGGTTTTATAGACACAATTAAAGAACAATAGGTCGCGGTCACCGGTGACCGCTTGGTGTTTGACAGTTTAAATGTTTTATATTAACTAATATATTTTTGTTGTTATCATCGTCTGCATCGTCTTTTCAAATAAATTCTTCCTTATACATAGATTAAATATTATGTTGCTGGCAAAGTTACATGGCCTTTTGGGGTCTAAGAACCATAACAATATCCATTCCTGATACAAAACATCGTAGTTTTCGATTTTCAAGTCACAGAAATAATATATTAGGTACCTGTTATTAGACAAGCTGATGAAGTTAGCCAGTATTTTTCTATTCTGTAAGGTTAGCTGTTGAAATAACTTGTGTATAAAACCAATGTCAAAACAAATAACAATATATCAACTGATGACAGGATCGCCTTAAATCCACCATAACTTGGCAGATACAATTTTTTTTAAATTTTTTGCCTTTATCCAACCAGCCGTGTCCTCAAAACATAAGAATGTAGCACGTGCCGAATCTTCAATTCCTTGCACTCCTCGCACTCAGCGCTCACTTGAATGTCATTTTGAATAGAACCTTACCTGTCTTAAGTACTGTTTCTTTTTTAATTAATACAAGGTTACGGCTGTACATCTCTGTGTCGGTTTCATTTTAATTTTGATTTTTGTAGTTACCTTGACTGACCGCCTCTTGGCCGAATGGTCGTTATTGCGACTGCCGGAATCTTTTCTTTTAAGCGGGGAAAATCATCGAATGACTGCTCCCGCCTGGGTGAGGCGGAAAGGAGTGTCAGACTCTTACTGACTAAAAACCACCCCGTTCCTTCTCCTGCACGTCGAGACTCTCTGACTACCCCTTCGGGGATAAAAGGCGTGATGTTATGTTATGTGTTGTTACATTAAAGTTTTAAAGAATTTATAATTATGACAATGTCAAATAATTATTGTAAACGTTTAAAAAAAGAAATCTTTCAAAACAAATGAAGCGTTATTAGATTATTTGATCAGAAATTTAATATAATTTACGTGAGCAGTTAGAACGAACAACGTACAGATGCAAACAAAACCAACAGTGAATCTATTACATATACATACTAGTCATAATTTGTTATTATTACCATTGACTAAATATCTGTTCGGTAAACATAAGTTTGAACAGAAACATATCCCCCAAAACCATACAACGTATTACCTAAACCAACACCATACCGCACAAATTATAAAGACAAACTCAAATCCCGAAGACAAATCACTAAATTATTAACAAAGTTTACATTCCCATATTCCAATACAACCATCTATGTAAAGACTGGCGTTGGCGCGGTGGCTGGGTAACTGGCTGCCGTGTAACGTGTGCCGCACGGAACAACTCTTTGTGTGATCCACAAATTGATGTTCCGGGTCTGGGCGGCATGTGCACTGATACGACCTTCAAGGAAAGAGCGTAGGTACTCCTTTTTAAAAGGCCGGCAACGCGCCTGTGACTCCTCTGGTGTTGCGGGTGTCCATGGGCGGCGCTAATCGCTTACCATCAGGTGTTCCGTCTGCTCGTTTGCCTACTATTCCATAAAAAAAAGTGCATGTGAACTTGGTTTGTAGCCGCACCCACGACACAGAAGAAAATGATAATGGAAGGCAAAGCTATTTTTTTAAAAAAAGAATCTGCATTCACATTTCTATGACGTGACGCAACACACCAATCAAATGACTCCGTTCAAAATTACGTCAATCATAACGAGTTTTGTAGCCAATCAAATACGTTTAAAAACGTCACGAGACGTCACGTTAGACAAATGTAAATGCAGCTTTATTCGACGTGTTCCGATACAACGTGACGTGACGCTGACGTGACGTCGTATGGAATAGGCACGTGCTTGAAAGCAATTTATTTCTTTAATTAGAAAATTTACATCGGTTAGCCTCGAATGGATTCACTGTTCTATTTTATATGGGTTTGTGTTATGTAATATTCACTGGTTTAGAGTTAATTATTATTGTGTGGTGTGTTATTTGAGATTAAATATTTTATTTATTATAATTTTGAATTAATAAAAATTGTAGATTATATCATCTTCCTATAAAAAACAATAACAAGTTCCCTAATTTTATCGGCAATTAAAGTCATGCGACATGTCCTAATTTTCATATTTACGATTTGGTTTACGGCTCACAGATACATAATTATGTTCTGCATATGCTGAAAGACTTTTATCAAAAAGTCATTTTTTTTAATCAAAGAATAACACGACTGATACGAAATAGAACACCCCAATACGTCTTATTAAAAACACCCTGCAAAACCGGTTCAGATCCGTTTGGAGTCAAAACGTTACTACAGCAACTGTTTGTTCCAGGTAATCGTTACCCTTTTAATCAAGTATACGGCTTACGTACATACGTACGCCTCCGTCAGGTTATGTACAGTGTGCAGGTACAATTAGGTTCTTGCTTTAATCAAAAATAAATTATTTCGACTGTTCAGTACAATAAAATATAAAAAAATTCATTAATTGATTTTATGACTAACCTAATTTTAGTCTTTTTCCAGTAAATGTTTTAAGAAATAAGTATGTTATTTGACGCTAAAAAACGTGACGTCACAATACACAATCTCGTACAAAATTCCTAGAAAAATGTCGTTTTTGACAATTCGATAAATGTATTGAATTTGACTAGCTTATAATTATTTAGTATGCAGGCACGAAAATAGAGATTGATTCAGTAGAAACTGGACATTTTTATTACAACTTTCGTGAGACATACCAAATTACATACTATTACGTTTATTTACTTAATTAATTAACAAGGCCCACTCGCGTAATATTTAGTAGTTTTAAATAGTCATATAAGAAAGCCGGTAAACATAACAATAAATACAGTTAAATTTTTTTTGCTACTGAGCTGAGAAATGGTTACTTAAAGATTATACCTTCATAACAAACGATATAATTCAGTGTTACAATAGTAACTATCTTTGTACTCAATCAATCTTTATTTTCTTATCTATATAAAGAAAGAAAGAAGAAAGAAACATTGTTTATTTGCACACCGTCACAAAATACAATAACACACACAAAAAAAATACAGTAAAGACGGCGCAAAAAGCAATATATATGGATATATGTATGTATGTATACCACTTTTCTGTGCAGACTGTACCTGTAGACGGCTGCATGTCAACGAGCAACAATCGCTATTTCTTTCAATTTTCGACTTAATGTCAAAACAATAAAGTTATTTACAGAAAGGCAGAAGGTTAACCTGCCGTCGCCTGTACGTTGTACGCCACCGTCAGGTTACGTACGGGAAATTCATTTTCATGGACTATTTATAGACTTGGAACATAAAGGTCCAATCCCTTTGAGTTTGTAATTGTAATTCCATTAAAATCTCAGAATCGTAATTAAGTTAAAATTGTTGCAAATTATACGGTTATATACTTTTGTAAATATGAAATTGATTATGAATGTGTGTGAGAGATACCTATTCTATTAGTATCCTGTATTTCAAAGTATTTGTTTTTATATTGTAATTTGTACAGGAATATCTGTAGGTAGTAGTAGTAACTTTGGTGTCCATTTTTGTATAGACATATTCTGCGTTAATAAGAAAATCTAATGATACTTGTTAAACTAGCAAAATTGCCGTGCCTATGGACTTTGTGGTATGAAATAAATAATTTTTATTTTTATTTAGTTAATTAGTTTCATTAGTGTACTTATTTGACTACTTCAAGTCTAAAGATCATAAAAGCGAATTTTTAGTACCTAGTCTACAATAAAAGTATCTTTGAAATGATCCTCAGTAGTAGCACGGAGTCTGGAATTGTGCCCGGTATATGGCAATAGGCTCACCCCCTATTACATGGGACTCATAACATAAATAGTGAAAGTGGGTGTTACATTGTACAGCGGCATAATGTACACACCTTCGGGGATAAAAGGCTTGATGTAATGTTATGTTATGTTGAAATGATCCTATACTCTCAAATAAAAATACCGAGAAACACAAAATTCGTACAATTTAAACTGGTCCCCGTTGCTCAATCAACCGTCTTACTGATTGATTCCGAAAAAATTCCAAGAAATAAATGCTAGTCGTACATCAATCGAAAAATGTCACAGACGAGATAAGATCCCTTTATTGGTCGAACAGAATTCGTTCAGTTGTGAATTTGTTTTGTTTTTTATATCGGTATTTTTAAGGGCTGATACAGAAAGAAAAACAAGGGTAACGTTTGTAAAGATCCACGTATTTTTGGGGAAAGAATAATATACATTATCTAATACTTACGTGGAACTCATAAGTATACGAAATGTATACTGATTTGCCTGTACACATAATTGATCAACTTGTATAGTAAGTTAAGTGTGCACAATGTATTTAAAAGAAAAATAAAAAAGATTGTGTATGGAATACATTAATATTCATACATTAACTTCAACAAATGTATCTACTCAAGTATTATCCTGGCAACACAAGCAAGTCCAATCATTTAAAAAGTCATGAATAAATATTAAAAAAAAATCAATCATTTAAAACTAAACACACTCAAAAATAGAACACATTTTAACTCGTCGAGTACCGGTTTTATAGACACAATTAAAGAACAATAGGTCGCGGTCACCGGTGACCGCTTGGTGTTTGACAGTTTAAATTAACTTTTTTTAGACACACATCATATACACAAAGTTGGTACACGTCCGCATTTTCGAAGTTATTGATTACGTGTACTAAACGCGTTTAGACTGCGTAATGTATTCTAAATATAATAAGTGATCGTCTTTGCAGGTGGAAGGCAATATGCTACCACTACGTGCGACGTAAGCGGCAAGTCACGCGATATAGAAACGGAGATGCCTATACAACTACACAGGTAAGTATTATAGACCTGTACCTACTGATATTTTATTTTAAGCTAGCTGCTCCCGCGTGGCTTCACTTGCTCTTCTCGGCTCCTTTTAATTGTAGCGGCATGTTTTATATCCTCTACAAACTTCCTCAATAAATAGCTTATCCACCACTAAAATATTTTTTCAAATCGAACCAGTAGTTCCTGAGAAAGAAAAAAGGTAACTTATGGTAGGATTAAACTATTTAAAAACAGAAGTAAGTACCTCTTTTTCTTCGGAACGTTTATTTTCTACTGAAGACTATAAAATAGATTTATTTTTGGTCTGGTTTTAATATTACTGAGCGAGACATGTAAATTACATAGGTAGGTAAATTATAAACGTGGGTATTTTTCTTGAACCCTCAATTTCTTGAAAGACAATAAATCATTTCACGACTGAAGTATTTTGTAAATAAATCGCCTACAGTATGCTTCTTAATCAATCTTTTCGAGGTCATTATTAATCGATTAGCGTCAGTGCGGATAAAGATCTTGTTTAAATATATGTATAGAAAATCTATTTACTAAGCTACGACAAACTTCAGTCGAATAATAAGCAAGTTGTTTTAATTCATATTCTTTCAGTGTTACATAAAAAACCTCTGATACGATAGGATATGATGCTAAAACAATTCTACGCTATAGCAAAAATCGACAAGCATCAACAGTCGCAATAAAACGCAAAACCGATTCCCATGTCTACCAACAAATATCTCCTAACTCATTTCTCGAACTAAATTGCCTATAAAACCAATAAATTGATAAAAGCCAGTCTACAAAATAACTTGACGACGATATTTCTAAAGTGGTGTTTCAAGTACCAATTCTATTTGTTGGAAATAAAACAAAAATGCGAAGGAATCATATCGGATAGTCGACTAATGGAAAGGTATAGCGAGCAATATGTCAGCACAATAAATGCGATGTCGGACGCTGGTATATGGGAGAGACAGCTTGTTACTTCACAGTATGAATGGGATAAGCTAGATATAGTCTGTGGACAGATTTATATGACTTTTTTTTGCAATAGTAGGTATATTGTAAGTTTCCTGCTAGCGCCACAAGCAATTTCAAAATTAATGTAAACATGTGGGAATACTACTGAGCTTTATTCAATAGATGGGTACTGACTGCCTCATTGGCAAGTGCGATCGCCGGGCAAGGAGTCTCGGGTTCGACGCCCGGGTCGGGAAAAGTATTACTGTGTTTTTTTTAAATTTCAGTATTAGCACGGAGTGTGGAATTGTGTCCGGTATATGGTAATAGGCTCACTCCCTATTACATGGGGTTCATAACATAAATAGTGAAAAATGGGTGGTATATTGTGGCAATAAGCGCCGTAATGTGCACCTCTGCCTCTCCCTTCTGGGATAAAAATGCCATATGGCATTAAGTTCGCCTTATGTACCATAAACAAATTATGTACATTAAAGAATAAATAAAAAAAAAATGCGTATTGTCATATGTTATTAATGTGGGTTGTGGGTACTATATTTTTAAAGAACCAATCCTTAATTTCTTATCTGCATGCCAAATAACATTTCTGGTCAATATAATTTTGACTTAGTAAAGTTCAACTACCTAGTACTTGCCCCGCCCAGCTTGTATTTGCAAGGGGCAAAAAACCTTCGTAAAATGATAAAGACCTTGACACGGGTTCCTTGTTCCCCAATTGGGAATACGGCGAAGGTTACGACCATAGCTCAGCTTGTTCCTTTGGGTATTGGCATTGACTATGTGTATTACAAACTACGACAGTGTGTTTAACCAGTTAGTTGATTGAAGGCTTCTAATATTACGCTGATTTCACGAAAATGTTTTTTTAATGACAATCAAGGGCATTGTATTCAGATACTATTAGGTGTACTGTTTGTCAATAAGGTATCAATGAGGGAGAAATTACAACATAACAATAATAATCTTAAGTTCACTCGTTCTTACAGTCACGTTATTAAGACGTCACTCGTCTGATTGATACTCAAACTAGCTTCTGCCCGCGACTTCGTACGCGCAATCCCATTTTCCCCCGTTCCAGTTCGTGATTTTCGGTAAAAAGTAAAAAAAAGTATTGACTAATAAGTATCCTATATCCGTCTCCTTGTTCTAAGGTACCTCCATGCCAATTTTCATCTAACCCGATTGAGGCGTTCTTGTTATAAATAGTGTAACTAACACGACTTTCTTTTATATATATAATATAGAGAAGATAGATAGAATATTATAGAGGTACACTACATTTAATAAATCTATCGCTGTATAAAGCCACTTTAGCTGCTTCCAAACATGTCAAAAACCCATCTGGCGCTTTCACCGCTGAACTGGGTTAGACACACAGTAATTGTTTGGTTTGGTTACCTTTGAGCGGATCGAAAACTGTGCCCTGCATATTGATGTATGCATTGTTTGTGATGGGTACAAAACATGCAATTTGACAAAAATAGCACGAGCGTTGCGTGATCGCTTGAAGTTCTTGCTTTTGTTGTATTTTCATTCAATTTTAGAAATGCTATTGAGCTTACGTTTAATGGAATCTTTTCCATTATCCTCTTAAGGTATAGGTTTACTGTCGGGCAAGGGGTCTGGAGTTCGATACCCGAGTAGGGCAAAGTATTATAGGGTTTTTAAAAAAAATCTCATTAATAGCACGGAGTCTGGAATTGAGCCCGGTATATGGCAATAGGCTCAACCCCTAATTACATGGGACTCATAATATAAAAGTGAAAAGTGGGTGCTACATTGTACAGTGGCATTAAGTGTCGTAATGTGCACCTCTGCCTACACCTTCGGGGATAAAAAGGATGTTTTAGTTATGTTATGTCTTAAGGTATGAAGTGGACTTATGTGCTGCAAGAATATAAAAAAATATATTTAGATTCTGAATCTATTGCATAATAGGAGTAGGAAATTTGACTTAAAACATACTTTTTTTAAAAAGAGTAACGAATGGAGTTTCTTGCTCGTTCTTCTCCATTCGAATCTACTTTTTGGAATGAGCACCTAGCTTCACCTAGTTTCACTGACGGACTGACTGACAGACTATTATTTATTTTGTATTTGTTGACGTTTCAAAAGCACCAAACTATGGTTTAATTGAAATAAATGCTTTGACTTTGACTTTGACTTTGACTTTGGTTTATATATAATTGAAACTATCTCCTAAAACTCAACAAAAAAGCAGTTTGGTATACTTTTTCTTTGAGAGGGGAAAATCGTCCAATAATTTTCCTTGCCCGGGTGGGGCGAGAGGGAGGGTCAGATTCTTAGTAAATGAGACATTAACATATTTTGCTTTTGTTACTAGGTCTACTACGAGAGGGTAAACACTCACAGTGCCAGTACATCCTTTGCCCACGCCTGTTGTGGGCAGCGAGATGCTTCCAGAAATCTGGTCCTGGATTCCAAGACGCCAATCACCAAAGTACGCTTTAGTAAAGGCTTCGCTTTTGCCAATATTGAAGCAGCTAGTGGTAAGTTAAAGAATGGTATCGTAAAAGTTACTATTAGTTAAGATAATTGATTATTTTTATTTTAGTCTGGAATTGTGCCCGGTATATGGCAATAGGCTCACCCCCTATTACATGGGACTCATAACATAAATAGTGAAAACTGGGTGTTACATTATACAGTGGCATAATGTACACCTCTGCCTACCCCTTCGGGGATAAAAGGCGTGATGTTGTGTTTTTCGTAATAGAAGTTCATACTGCCAATACTATAGCAAAATAGAAACAAAATTCAAAATTCTCATTCGTATTTCAGATTCAAACAGTATTCATTTACTGATTCGTTGAGAATCGAACAAGTAAAATTACAAATAGGACTAAACTATAAAATTACAAAGGACTCTAAAATAAACTTTTCTTTCTAGAATTCGAAGACCAAAGATCAAGGTTCTTCGCTGAGCACGAAAGGTTCGACGACTTCATGGAAATGCGCGAAGGCTTGGACCTTATCGGAGTCAGCTCATTCAAAGAATATATGGTAGCTTATAGGTAATTATCAGAAGGTTTATTTTCCCTTGACATCTTGCAAAGTATAGCCCAAATGTGTTAGTATTTAAGTCATTTGTATTACAGGGATGCTGACCGATGTCCGTGGTACTCATCACAACTGCTTTTCTGGACTCTTTCTTGTCTCCTTCTCTCGTGGCCTCTGCGTATACTCATAGAATGCAATACAGCTTATGTACATTATACGGTGAGTTGAATTTTGTATAGAAAATAATTTTAGATTCGTATGTCAAAGTATTACGACATTGTAATCTCTCTAAACCCATGATTATCGTTCGAACACGCCCAGTTATTGCCAGTGTAATAACTTCGTGTTATTTTACCTAATAAATAATATAATCTCATTTCGAGAACACAATAAGCTTTGATCTCATTATTTGATACAACCGGATTGTTATACAACGTTGTACAAACATGTTAACTAAAATTGCCTCGAGCCCTTGCTTCAACCCAAATGTTTATTTGATATTCCGTCTATTTTGTTGCAGATTACGAAGATATTTGGAACGAATTATGAGTTAGATCCCAGTAGGCAGTTAGATATTGATACTCACATGTCAGATACTTTGCCGCCGGTGACTGCCAATAACTACGCGTGGGCACTTGCTGATGAGCAAAGTGCTGTGCTGTGTTCAGCTCCCCGTCCACCCCGTACCTTACCCCTCTCACACGCTTCCACTGTCGACAGTCTTGAACTGTTTGCTGCAATACGTGGAAACTGTGCCTTAGTACCCTCTTATTCTGAAGCTATGCGTATTGACGCAGCACTTAGAGAAGAACCAGCAGCAGCAGCAGCAGCAGCCGCAGATGGCGGCACTGACAGTGCTGCAACTGGAGTTGTTATAGATATGGAGCCCGAAGCTCGATCATCTCCACTTAGGACAGCTAAAGCAGCGTCATTTGACGAACCTCCACGAAGACCAAAAGTTACTATCGCTACTACACATTCCACACAGAACATTTCTGCGACAGCCAGATCTAATGAAGCAAAGCAGCTGAACAGACGCTCTTGGGCGGGAGTTCTTACAACCGCAAGAAGTGCCAGGCAGATCTTAGAAGAATTTAGGTCATCAAATTCACAAACAAGTTACGAACAAATGCCAGAACCTCAAGTAAGTGAAAACGGAGAAACTACATTATATTTTCTAGAGAATTATCGCCAACTTGTTCGAGAGATCCATTTGGTGGTCGTGCACAAACTACGCCTACTGATGAGCCGCCTTCATATGAAGAGGCACTAAAAATGCCTGCGCTGAGGAAATTAACGAGGTCTATTACGGGGACTAATTTAGCCGGTTCCAGACGAGCATTCCTGCGAGATGTGCTCACAAATAGGAGGTCGTGTCTGGAGGGTGTCGGCGTGTTAGCAGGAACTAAGGTAGTTAGGTTGCCGTATAGCGAATCCGGTGACGAGACGCCTCTATAGCGCTTCAGTAAGGCCCGTGCAGTTACTGACTTTATATGGTGCAATAAAATGTTATTAGGTACTTGAATGGAGAGACTACCGTATTGTGTGAAATAGATAAAGCTGTTAATAGTGATAGTGTTTGTACTAACGTGTTTATACGCTTTGGAATTGTAGGAATAAATGAGGAATGAGCTTGCAAATATAGTTAAACATGTATATACGTGGAATTGACGATGGAATTCAAGTTTTTGTCAAGCTATTAATATTCTGGAAGAGCCATTTTGTCTCGACAATGACGTAAACTGGTATACTGATATTTGGCTTAGGTTAATGTTTAATGCTCGTATTCTTCGACAAATGTGACTGGTCACTTGCTATTTAAAACTATTTTAAAGGAATTGTATTAAATCTACCTTTAGATAGTGACTGAATTAATTGGAAAGCCTATTCACTCATTCTTATTTATCTGTACTGTTTACTTTGTTGTAATAATATACTTTTACTTATGCATATTTGAATGTCATAGTGTTCCAAAACGCTTGGATTATTTGAGATCATTTTAAAATCATATTTAAATACAATTCTATTTCACCTGAAATCCTTGGAAAAAATAAACGGCCAGCAGTTTTTATAACACAATCGCTTTTATTCTGAATAAAAAAGTAATACGAAATGGACCGGCCATGTTCTTTGTTCATGAAATAGGTGTATCCTATTTCTTAGGATTAAAAGAACAAGTTCTCTCTAATTGAACCTACTGTGAATTTTACACAGAATTGTCAAGTAATTGGACATTATATATAAGTTTATATATAAGTACAATGTAGGTATAAGGCAGTGCCTTATAACATTGTTATACTTTAAAGCGACATAAATATAAATATATATAATTATATTGCAATTACTGTATGTACTGTATAAAGTAAATATAGCGCGATGCGTAAGCTTTACCGCACCACTTAGATAGAAAATATTATAAGCAAAACCCTTTTATATTCAAATTATGTAGGTGCACTAATTAGCGCCGAACACGAAAAATTTCTATTCTTATAAGTCCGATTCGTGATACGAAAGTAATTCCTGTCATTATCGAAGACTACGTATGTATATTTAATGTTAGTAACTGTTTGCTTTCGACGAATGAATCGGAATTTTCGAAGGAAAGTTTTTTGTGCGCCTTTAGGCTTAAAGATGCTGGAGTACGGAGGACGAATAAATAATTACTTCGATTAGTTGACGAGTGTCAGTTTGTTTGGACACGAAATAATGAATTCCTTTGATGTTCGGTTTAAAATATTCCTTTACAAGTCGTCCCACTCTGTTCTCTAATGCGAATACATTTTGAGATATTTATTTTTGTTTTACTTCTAAAAAATGTAAAATAATTAAATGGTAGGCAATTGCCAAAGTGATATTAACGTAAGTAGCTTATTAGGGAGCTCGATTCAATTAATATGGCTTACCCATGGAACCAATTAAAGTATTGTATATTTTAATCTTTTTAAATCATGTTTAAACCACGTTATTAATTAATATTGGTAAATAAATGTACATTTGAGTGTAATTCTGTATACTGATATTGTTATTAAGTTACATTCTGTGGAGCTTCGGTGAAACCTAGTATAAAATTAATCCATTTTCAAATAAAACCTCATTAATTTTAGTATTAATTATTAATACCAATTTATTACAACTCATATATGTACTTATACTATTAAAACAAAATTATTTCGAATCATATTAGTTAATTCTGGATGACTCAAATCTTTGCTATAAAATAAGTAAAGTCTTAATTATGAAACCCGTCCAAAAATAATCTCGAATGGATAAATAAATAACATTATTGCATATAAATGCGTACATAAATAATTTGAATAAACTTTTCTATGGATTTGAAAAGTTTCGCATAAAAAAAAATATGATTATTATTGATTAAGCCACTGTACATTTTTAATATATTGATTTGCAGATTAAAATAATGCTTGTAAATAGATTAGGATGTAAGGTAATGGAACAAAATAAATGAATAAATTAAATATATAAAGTGCCAATAAAGTCGTGTTAGTTTGTAGGATACAATGTTTTGATTTAAACATGGAGCATGGAGCAGAGTCGGAGTTGCGAACTAAGATTGAGGGTACTACGGGAGCACGCCTCGCAGAATTGGATTTCCCAAGTTTCCCGCGGTTTCTCTCCGATCGCCATGTTGAAAACTCACTAGAAATACCGCTATGTATATGTAAATTGTATCCAACTCAGTTGAGGCGAGTTTTCATAGTACTATTCCTGTTCCATTTCAATGCGCATAAAATATTTTGGCTGTATAAAGTACCAATATATGTCTGTAGATATATAATGAATACAATATAATATGATAGTTTAAATACAATGCTTTTATTGTATAATTGAGTACTGTTTAGTTGATAACGCTATAAATGAATATTTTTGATTGTAAACTAATGAGCAAAAAAAAAGTTTATTATTTTCAATAAACTGTGTTATAAATATTTTGAGTTTTATTTATTTCTTTATGAATTGGAAAACCAACAACTATACATGGCAAACAAATCCTTACTAATATTATAAATCGGAAAGTGAGTTTGTTTGTTTGTTCCGCTTTCACGCCATAACTACTAAACCGATTGCTTTGAATTTTTGCAGATGTATAGTTAGAAGTCCGGATTAAATAATAGGGTACTTTTATCCCGGAAAAATTTGATTTTCCCGAGGGAAAACAAAAGTATTGGTATAGATGGCGCTGTGTGTATTGGTGTATGTCATATTGGCTTTTTATCCTTTTGTGACGCGAGTGAAGCCGCAGGTAAAAGCTAGTGGATAATAAAATAAGATCAGAAAGCCAATTACAGGTACGGATAGACACTACATTATTCAAATTATTACGCACATTATATTAGAAGTGGCTGAAAGCAAGAATTTGCTCTAGGATAAGTGACTTTGTGCACAAGGTTCAAGGTTACTTATTGGTTAAAACAACTCAAAAATTATACAAAGGAAATAATAAACTAACATATTATACTACTCAAATAGGTATTGTATTAGAGAACAGAACAATTTATGAACATCAAGGTCAAATGTACTTCACGTAAACAAACGACCTGAGATGTCCTTGAAAGGTGCTTCGACGTGAGCAAATTGGAAATACGAGATTGTTATTAGAATCCAACACTTCTTCTTTATCCGAAAATAAATTTATATTTCAAAACATAATGTACTTTTTGTGTACTTTTATAGGTTTCAGTTTTAAATGAGTGTTATTATAAGACAAGCGTTTTAGGATTTACCTTGATCTGTTTAGTTTGAAACTTAAAACATATCATGATATTTTTATATTTAATTTAAAATACATAAAATTAAATGTATTATTTCTTTTTTTATGTTTTCTGAAAGATATAAAAAAATGTGCAATTGTTTTCCCTATATTCTCTACCTAATTTTGTATATTGATAATGTACACTATGATGATGATGATGATGAGACTACTGTGAAAAATACCACATATATAAACATATACTTCTGGCAAGTTACATGCTAATTTAAATTTACAATAAGTTGATATCTAGCACGTACATCTAGAAATATAATTACTAACCCGCTTTGGTGACAAAACACCTAACATTCAAAAAAACAGTCTACAAGATTCCATAAATATATCCACTAATAAAACAAGTATTTGTGTCTTATCTCTTCAAATAACAACACAAATATTTACCTCAATAACAGAGCTACATTTTCAGCAAAACTAACAAAATATCAGCGAAAATATCTCTGTCGGACTTGTAAGGAAAAAATGCTATTGAGGAAAAACAAACCTATAAATACTTTGATACTGTTTACTGTTCCATTCTTCTATAAACAGTGACGTCACACATACACAAACTCTTTAGGGAAAGACACCAACATTCAACCTTTTTTTGTTTTTTTTTACCTGGGTGGGTAATCTTTGAAACAACTACATTCGATTGCCAATCGTAATACAATATTTTACAACTAATCTAAAATACTTTTATCGAATCGTGAAAAACGATACCGTTCTATGAATTTTGTACTAAAAACTAACTTATGACATCATCATATTTTCGAGTCAAATAGCACACTTATTTCTAAAAAAAATGCTAGAATAAATCTAAAATTAAGTATATGAATGAAATTATAATTATTTTGAATATTTAATTGGATTCAAAATCAAAATATTTTTTTTGACTCAGGAAAATACCCAATCGTACTAATATTAGAAAGTTTGTATGTTCGTTTGTCTGTTTGTTACTCTTTCACGTTAAAATGGCTGAAGGGATCAGGATGAATTTAGGAACAGGGGTACGCTGGGGTCTAAAATAATACGTAGGCTACTTTAAATGCCACGGGGACGGCGAAGCCGCTGGCAAAAGACAATACAAAATAATAAAGGTAAGCATACATGTGGACTCTATAGGTAGGTAAAACCACCTGATCAAATCTCCAATTTTTTAAATATCTACAATAGATTCTCGACTATAAACGTCAAATATACAACATGTAACGTAATTAACGCACACCCTCAAACACCCCAATTAGAATATTATGTTATAATCATAATACATACACTAAATTTTTAATATAACATGTATATGCATCCTTACTGGTCTTGTCATAAGGTTTATTTTTCTTTATTTTGTATTGAATGATAGAATTTGTATGAATACAAATAAAACTGCGATTTAAAAGTCTTATTGCTTTGACTTACGGTCCATTTCGATTTGTTTTAACAATACAGGGTTAATATGACAATAATTTCCGTAGTTTTATTTATTTTTGTGATAAAAAATTACCTATACTAAAAATTATATAAATCGATTCAGTTAACGATTCAGAACAAACTATTTTCAGGATGTGCGCTATTTAAGTTACATGTTGTAGAATTGGAAATCTGATAAAGTATACCTCGGATTTTCATTGATATAGGGAAATAGAGAATACAGAACGTGTGACAGCCATGCTACTTGAAGTTATGGAAAGGTGTTTCTTGGGGTTGTTTTAGATCTGTAGGATTTCAAGGTATTTTGTGTTTCGTTCGTCTTGTATTACGGAACGAGGTTTTGATAAAGCCCATGTCGATGTCGGTGGGTAAAATTGTTACGATAGAAGATGTGCAGAACAAAAAAGTAAGACATAAAATAGAAGCCCATAATTATCTACCCATATCTAGTAGCAGATTTTACAGGTACATACATTTTTGTATTTTTCGTGAACTCTACCGCAAAGTCTGAAGACAAAAGTCTTCAACGAGTGCGTCCTGCCAGTAAGGACATACGGAGCCGAGACTTGGACACTGACAGTGCGACTGGTCCACCAATTTAAGGTGGTGTAGCGAGCTATGGAGAGTCACTGAACTAATTAAATATAGCTAATCATGTGTAGAAAAAAATATAGAGAGATCTACGTTAAATAAAGACGATAGCAATTATCTGTCTTAATTATCATAATTAATTATATTTAAACAGAACCTGATTTAAAACATTCTTTATGTACTTATTAATGGTAGGTATGTTCAGGAGTCTCGTAAAAGTAACTTTGTTACTCAACTCAAGAAAATATAATAAAAAATTAAAAAAAATCAACATGTAATCGGAAGCCCTTTTTGAATATCTAAGGATCTACACTAACGTTTTATTTTCTTGGAGGCAGCTACAAAATAAAGCATATTTCACTGGAAAAGGAAATTAATCTTTAATACCTGAGAAATGCCTGAGAACTTGTAAAACTTGCAGTAAACAAGATACCAGTGAAGTATATTTACGATGTTTTCATTGCGAGTATAAAATATCTGTACCTACACTCGGTTTATATTTGTACATTTTCACGTAGAGGGATAACGCCTTAGATCATACCTTTTTTGTAGGGGGTAAAATCATCAATTGACGCCTTTAGCCCTGGATAAAGCAAGAGGGAGTATCAAACTCATACTCACTAAAAAACAATTCGTCTCAATTCTTAATTCGAGCCAGAGTTAAAATACCTAGTTCTTGGCTTTATATTAATAATATGACAATAGATCTATTTATATGCGACTAAATAACATGACTGGTGAAAAAATTTTCAAATTAAATATAACTCATTCACGTTTTTCGTTGTACTAAGTATAAGTGTGGGAGAGCCATGCTTCGGCACGAATGGGCCGGCTCGGCCGGAGTGATACCACGGCCTCACAGAAAACCGACGTGAAGCAACGCTTCGTTCGTCGTGTGAGTGAGGTTACCGGAGGCCCAATTACCCTCCACTTCCCTAATCCCTGAATCCCGAACGATCCTCAAACTCCTAATCCCAAAAAGGCCGGTAACGCACTTTTAACGCCTCTGGTGTTCCAGGTGTCCATGGGCGACGCCGATTGCTTACCATCAGGTGATCCGTCTGCTCGTTTACCTACCATATGCCATAAAAAAATAGGACCATTAGTTCCCGGGATTAGCGCGTTTAAACAAACTTTTCAGCTTTATACTTATAACACTATAAGAGATATAATATAAAACGGGTGATATTATGTTATATTATATTTATTACCAACAAAAATATGAAGAAATCAACGAGCTCATTAGGATTCAGGAAGCTTTCGAGTCGTCCGTCGTAATCCAATTATTCGTCACTGGTGCTAAGAGAGATTTAAATATCCAGGAGTAGCACTCAATGAAAAACCGTAATCATTTTCAAGTACACATTTATCTTCGGTCAATATTAAGGCAAATGAAGGCACTTGTCATTATTTTTAGATGATCCTACGTATATTCAAGATTGTGCGAATTTAGGAATTAAAATTAACACAAATAAATTTATTTATTTATTTTTGCTTATAAACATTCCTAAATATAATTCTAAATATATTCCTAAATAAAAACTTATAGATACGTTTTAACTCTTTTGTCTTCAATCTTTCAAAGGGATCTAAACGTTTGACGTAAATGTTTGAGATAGAACATATCCATGATCCCCATGATCCAGACCTCATGTTTAATTCATTTAATGTAACATTTAGTACTTCATTTTATAAATTTCAATAAATATATTACTGCATGGATCAATTGCAAACTGTAAAATTTCTGCGTATTTTATATAATATACAAAAAGTTTAACCATGTTATAAAAATTTAAATCTAAACATATAGAGGTAGGTAATTTAAGAATATATGTAGTATAAACTGAATTTATGATACATTTAAATACATCACTGTGTAATTAAGTAGCATTATCATCACTCTTACACAATTCCTCTTCACTATCATAATAATAATGTCTACGTAAGTAGGAAAGTCTGCGGTTTAAACATTCAGTGAGTCGTTGCCGACTTATTGGTCTCCAGCCCCTTGTCTTACCATATTGTATTGTATAGTCCAACAAGACTTTTCTTGCATGCCAATCGAGAGCTGGTTTCGCCGTCGGATTTTTGTTCGAGGACGGGCAAAAATTACATTCCGTTATAGCTTTATCAGTAAAAATTGAGTTCAGTAAGGTTTTTGCAATCCAAGTCGTATCGACATCGTCACGACTTTGGCATTCAGTAAGTTTCTTTTCAGACACATACACTCCAGAGTTTGGTACAAGTTCTACGATTCCTGGTTCAAGTTTTGTATATCTCAGCGTCTCTATATTTCTATCTTCAAAAACTACCTTACGTTTTGGTCTTTTCTTTGTCATTTTCGCAGGTTTCTTCTTAGCTTTATTTACATTAGCAAGTATTATTTGTTTTAAATTATCAGCGATTTTATCAAAATGTGACATCGTTTTTTGATATGACTCATTCAAATGTTCATAAAAATCAGTACAGATTGAATGAATTTCGGTATTACTGATGTTAACATTTTGTTTGCCATTAGAAATGCTTGTATTTTCAAAGTTTCTTCTTGTTTACTAGTATCAGCAATAACTACACTTTCATGTCCACTGGTATCACCAGTAGCTGCAGTTTCTTGTGCACTAGTATCACACTCCTGTTCACTTTGTTCTCTAGTCTCCCTATTATTGTCTTTTTCATCTGGTATTTTTTTGAGTTCCTGAGAATTTGAACTGGCCTTCGACGTGGAAGGCAATGACGATATATTGCTTAAATTTGAATTAATATTTTTCAAAACATTTTTTGATGATTTGGGTTTTATTTTCTTCTTTTTATTAATTTGTTTCTGTTTATCTCGACGACGATTTGCAGTTGACAGAGAAGTTTTGGTTTTTGTTCCTTTCTTAGGAATGTTTGACTTTTTAGAATCTAGAAAAAAATAATGAGTTGAGAAATATATAATGATACGACAGTATTTTGATGGGAGCCAAATCATTAATTTTTTTTTTGATTGTTTTTACTCATAAAAATATTAATGCTTTGGCTATTATAATTATCTTGGTTACTCAACAAAAGTTGAGCTTCTTAGCGTATATACGATACTAATCTTCAATTAAGATTAACGGCTTGCTTCATCTTTAGTTACTTTTAGCTTGTCTATCTATACTAGAATCATGTAAACCATTTGTGTCGAATTTTTTTATACACTATACTGTTAACCTTACATCTATACTACGTTTACTCAGTTTTAAAATATATATACCTTTTTCATTCTCAATCTCTTGTTGCTCTCTGGCTCTCTCTTCACGATGTTGGAGTTTAAGGAAATACCATACTTTATCTTGACAATCTGAGGAAAAACAAGACAAATAGAAACGATTTCTACTGCTAGTAATAGTCTTATTGTATTTATTTATTATTAAAGTTTTTTGGTGTAGCTTGCATGAAAGTGAATAAAATGAAATACTTTTTTTTCTACGTATAATATTTTTGTTTTTACATATTATTTTTTTATTGTTATATTTGCTTATTACATTTTTAAAGTTGGCAACAAATCAGTGGTTATGGATGATATATAAGTAAGATATAACATTATATAAAACAATAGGGATGATGACGGGGTATAAAAAAATTAAGTCTAATGAGTCCGTCAGTTGGCAATGAAGCTCAGAAAGCTCGCTCGCTCGAGCTCAGAAAGTCGCGCTCAGAAAGCTGATAGGTGTGTGTGAGAAGTATGCGAGAGTGCACGGTCTCCTGTACAATGAGCAGAAAAGTGAGCTCATGGTATTTCAGGCCAGGGGTCGTAAACTGGGGGGTGTGGCACCTGTACTGCTTAACACTGTCGCTCTTCAAAGAGTGAAGGAATTTAAATACCTCGGCCATGTGGTTACCGAGGATTTAAAAGACGATAGGGACATAGAAAGGGAGAGGAGGGCGATGGCGGTCCGCTGTAATATGTTGGCACGCAGATTTGCGGGGTGTAGTCTTGGGGTAAAGATCACATTGTTTAAAGCATTCTGCCAAACTCTCTACACCTGCAATCTGTGGGTCAGCTACACGCAGCGGGCCATCAACGCTCTCCGTGTACAATATAATAACGCGTTCAGGGTGCTGGTGGGGCTCCCGCGCTGCTGTAGTGCGTCTGCGATGTTTGCGCACGCGCACACTGACGGCTTTCACGCGGTGCTACGGCGCCGCATCGCCTCGCTGATGTTCCGTACGGGGGAGCGCCAACACCATCTTGAGCGAGCTCAGCCAAAAACTGGATAGCCCCCTTATGAGGCACTGGGTTCAAACTCAAGTGTGCGTGACCGGTGCCTCAAACGGAGGCAAATACTTAAGTTAATTCTATTGTTAAAAAAATTAAATAATTTGGCCTTTTTTCATTTCTTCTTTATATTTGTTGATGTAATGATATTTTTTACCTAAATTGACATTAATTAAATTGACAATATACTAATTTGAATGATTGATAATGCGGTGTTATAATGTAATAAATTAAATTAATTAAGAATATATATATTGAATAATAATAATCTAATCGTAAATGTATGGACCCAATATGTCTGAAATAAATTTATTTTATTTTATTTTATTTTATTTTTTTTAATGAAAAAATGTTAGACACGTATTTTTTTATTTTGACGTATAAGAAAACAATACTTAGATAAAACCAATCAAAGTTTAAGAGTGTGAGCTAACTACGTCACTTTTCAGTAGAAAACTTACTTACACAAAAGTGATGTCACGCGATATTTCAAATCAATGTATCATCTAAAGCATTTGTTTCTGTAAGAAAATAAAAATACGTGTCTAATGTTTTTAAATAATCTACGCAGACGACCAATTATCCGTTAAATAGTTAATGACTAATGAGTATGGAGGAAATGCGACCTCTTCCAGAGCCTCCGCTGTGGAACACGTGTACGTTATACAAACCTGAATCAAATATTACTTCGCCATATCGCGTAGGCCATGATTTATCTAGGGGTTCCGACTTCAGTATTCGCAGTATGGTGTGCAAACCATTCTCCACGGGATATCCAAAAATTATCTCGTCACTATTTTCATCTTTCTTTTGAATCCAATTGTTTAAGATGCATTTGCATTTTTCAGGATCATTTGGATCGAAATTAAATGTTCTCACTGCGACATACTTCCCATAGTTATGTACCGCCATTATCTGCAATAATAAACTATTTTTAGGCAACGTCTATAGCATACTATTGTTTGAAACAAGTACCCAGATAAAATAAGTAGAGTACTTATTAATGAGATGTGATTACGTCATACAGGAAATAAGCTATGATGTAACTAATTGATATAATATGAAGTATTCCTACATAATAATATGTTGTTCTATAACCGGGGGGGCACACTAATAAATAAAAATGTTAGAGCAAAGGTCACTTTTAACATAAATTTAAATTGTCAAATGAAACGCAAAACAATAATTCTCAAGGTTTCGTTGATTTGGATTCTGTAGGTATCTTTGTCTAACATTTGGCGCTTTGATAACGTTTGGCGCCAGCGCTTGAGTCAAGGTTAATGACCTTTCAACGGTTACTAAACTATAGTGATCAGAAACTTTTTATAGAATATAATGAAACCAAAATAATATTGCAAAAAGTAAGAAAATGCTTTATACAAGTATTTGTTTACCAACAACAATGATAGAATTTGCACTAATGATATCGGCTTAATGCTATGTGGGTAGTGACGTCATCGCTTCTTTAATATTCTACAGATTATGGCGCCATGGGTTGGGTTGTATCGTTCCCAAAAATATGTTTAAACGGGCCGCCTACACGTCATCGTAATGAATAGGCGACTTTTGCTGGAGCAGAGGGCCTAGTACAAGTTTGTTTTATGTTTAACTAGGTCGAAACATTACCGCGTTTAGCCCTCTGATTGGTTGGTTCGATGGAGCCGGCCAATCAGAGCGCGACAATTTCGATATTGTTAAATGTACATGAAACTCGTACTATGCCTTTCGCACCGAGTTGGTACGCTGATCAAGTAGCGTCGATATACAAATACAACATAATTCACTATACAATTTAACATATCATTTTGGGTTAATGTAGTAACAACACAATATTATAATTGAGTAATAAACAATAAAATTGTTTGCCAAGTCTTGACCCTTTGAGTGCCGTCATTATAGACACAATTAATGAACAATAGGTTGCGGTCACCGGTGTCCTCGCGATGTTTGATTCGTAGACATTTAACGATTAAAATACATAAAAAATAAAGGTAAATTTAGATACTTACCTATGAATGATGAGTTTCTTCACTTTTTTTATGAAACATAACCTATAAATTCACTTTCGCACAGACGTGTTTTCGTTCCGACTATCGCGTATTACTAAGTATATAACAGAATGAGTAAGCATTAGTCTGGAATGGTTGCGTCCTTTTCTATCTCATACCGCTGACCTTGATTAATATTTACGTACTATAGCGGGCCGTCCCGGTTTGTTTTGTAATTCCTGTAGCTTTGTTGTTTTTAATAATTTTTAGTATAGTAGGATGCCTACATATCTAAATAAATCTTTAAGCAGATGGTTGGTACCATTCAGAAATAGATAGCACTAATCAAACTTATTCTTATGACTGCCTCGTTGGCCAAGTAGTAGCAAGTGCGACTGCCGGGCAAGGGGTCTCGGGTTCGATTCCCTACGAAAGTACTACTGGCTATAAAAAATATTGTAGTATCACTAGATAATAGATACATATACATATAAATAGAGACATGCATAAAACCTTGTGTGTGTAGAATTAATCAATAAATGCGTATGTGTGTGTGAGAAACGCGTTTCGAAGGCCGCTCCTATCAATGTATTCAACTTGTGTTGATCTATTTATTGATGCAATAGTATTAATGAAAATGAAATCTCTACTAACTTTATTGGTCATCGTACTCCAACCCAGCAATTAAGTTGTCATTTAAATATGAACTTTAAATCGTATATCGTATGATATATTTCATAATGTCAATACAAAATGATTATATTAAAAGTTTCATGAGACATATGTATTAATTAAAGCTGCTCATGAATATGAGCCTCTAGCATGTCTTGAAACTAGTCGAGTTCCCCGACAAACAGTTACGTGAGTAAACCGAAAACATAATAATTAATGTGTTAATCTGTACGTGTCAATTTACATGCGTAAATTCTCAGGTATACCTATAGACAGTCGCGGAGAACCTAACGGGTTACCGGAGCTCCGGCTCGACGTGCAGGAGAAGGAACGGGGTGGTTTTTAGTCAGTAAGAGTCTGACACTCCCTCCCACCTCACCCAGGCGGGAGCAGTTATTCGATGATTTCCCCCCCTTAAAAAAATACTTATAAACAACAGTTCCATAAAAAGAATATTCAGAATTCACCCTCATTCATAGGCATGCTGTTTAACAACGAGCCAATCAATGGATGACGTCACAATCTTCGAATTTTGAAATTCAATCAGCCTTTCCGTCCATAGAACGCCTTCACGCCTTTTTTAAATTAAGCTTTACAAACCTCCAGATGCCAGCACATTAAGCTACTCTTTATTTTTTATTTTTTTATTTTACAATTTTAGGAAAACTTACAGCTAGGTATAACATAAGGATAGATTAAATTATAGATAAACGGCCAATAACAAGTTTCCGCTTATAGGTAATTAAATTACTAGTTTAAAAAGACAGCAAATGACGAAACAAAAAAAAACTGTTCAGAAAAACAAAAAGAAATAAGATATTATGTTTGAAAGAAACTTGAAGACATTAATTTCTTTAATCTACGTACGCTAGTGTGAAATAAATCTAAATCAATCCTCCGGCACTCTGAATCGTATGTCCGACACGCTCTTATCATGTATGAATTTTGTCTATAAACAGTGTTGGTAGACGGGACGTTAAGAAGTACAGGTTTGCGCAGAAAAGCAGAAGGCACACGCAACCCTATTCTGTCCACCAACTCCGGTACATCTAATGAGCCATTTACTATATTGAACAGGAATGATAAATCTGCAATTTTACGGCGCTCACATAATGGAAGGGTGTGAAACTGCTTGCAACGATCTATATAGTTATTTATGTAAGTTTTAGAGCGAAACTGGATGTACCTAAGAAATCTCCTCTGAATACTCTCGACACGATCTACATATATGGCGTAGTTAGGATTCCAAATCTGCGAGGCGTATTCCAGGTGACTGCGGACGAACGCACAGTATAAAATTTTTAATGTTTTTATATTACGAAATTCAGAAGAGACTCTGAAGATGAAACCCAAAGCCTTAGATGCCTCATTCACTATTTTATCTATATGGGTATCAAAAATTAGCTTTGAGTCAAAAATCACACCAAGGTCCCTAATGTTGTTAACTCTGGATATTGTGCACCCTGAGAGTTTATAGTCATAAAGGACAGGCCTCGGTTTGCGTGTGAAAGTGCATACGAAACATTTGGAAACATTTAGGTCCAGTTTGTTGACGACACAGTACTCCTGAAAGTTATCAAGATCCTTCTGCAGAGATATTGCATCCAATTCTGTCATTATCGGTCTCAGTATCTTCATATCATCTGCATAAAGTAGAATCTTAGAATTTTGAAAACATGCATCAATGTCATTCACAAAAATATTGAACAATAGGGGTCCCAGAAGAGACCCTTGAGGCACTCCGGAAGGGACACGGACAGATCTTGATGAGTATCCGTTAAGAACCACTATCTGACATCTACCCTCCACATAGGATGCAAACCATCTGTACAAGTCACCTCTGATACCTATACAAGCCAGCTTATACAATAGCTGAAGATGATCTATTCGATCGAAGCATTTGCTGTAGTCGGTGTATATAACGTCCACCTGGGACCTCATTGACATATGTTCAGACAAATAATCACTACAGACAACAAGATTAGATGTAGTGGAACGGCCCTTAATGAATCCATGTTGTTGCTCCAAGAAGGAATGTTTAAGAGTAGAAGATAGCTGTGTACGTACTAGTTTTTCTAAAATTTTGGCAAATATACACAATTTGGATATTGGTCTGTAGTTTTCTATAACGTTTTTAGGTCCTTTTTTATGAACAGGCGTTATATACGCCGACTTCCATACAGTTGGCATTACTCCAGCAGCCATAGACTTCCGATATAGTATTGTCAACGGGACAGTCAAACTTTTAGCACATTTAGATATAAAGATTGGCGCAATGTTATCTGGCCCCGCCGACTTGTTTACATCCACGTGCTTAAGTAATCGAAATACCTGCTCTTCGACTATCTCAACGGAGCAGATATCTGCTGTTGAGGGCTTATGGTGTGTGGAGGGTACACGGTCCGAGCCAGATGAAAGAGGTGATTCCTGAAAGTTAGAATAAAAAAAGTTGCTGAACATATTACAAATGTCCTCTCCATTGTTGGATTTAATTTCGCCATACTTAAATGTGGAGGGATAAGAATTAGTTTGCCGTTTGCTCTTAACATAAGTCCAAAATGACTTTGGATTCTTCAAAATTGCTGATTCAATATTTGTGATGTAATCAACATACATTTCCCTTTCCAAGTCTTTGGCCCTTTTACGCAACATAGTAAAGGACTGGAAATCGCTTAGATTACCATATTTTTTATATTTGGAATGGTATTTTGTTTTTTCTTTTAAGATCTTTACAAGGGGACTTTTGAACCAGGGGGGATACTTACTACGCGGCGTTATTATTTAGTAGGAACATAATCTACATGTAGTTGTTTAATAGTATCATAGAAGAAGTCAACAGCGCTCTCAAGGGATCTGCAGTTCAACTCCATATTCCAATTAACTTTGTTCATTTCCTGATTTATGGCTATATAATCAGCTTGATGATATAAATTACTTACTCTAGGACGGCTGGGTAGCTGAGGTAGGTGAACAAAATCCGCCGAGACACACAAAGCCCTGTGGTGTGGATCCTCTGACACCAATGGATCCGTACAGCAAGCAATACTAATATCATGATTTGATAAAATTAAGTCCAGTATCCTATCATTACTGTTACTATATGGATTGTACTGCGACAAGTTGCAAGCATTTAAAATATCACAGAAGTTTGTCTGGATATGACCTTGTACGTTACCCGGAGACAGATAACTACAGCCATTCCCAGGAATCCACTGAATGCCGGGCTGGTTAAAATCACCTAAAACTAAGAAT